AAAAAAAAAGCTTGAGAATTCCAGTTTTCTTCTTTGGAGAATCATTATGACTTATACATTATTGAAAAAAATTTATTGTTATTTTGCCAGTCCTGGGGCTTGAACTCTGGGCCTGAGTGTTGTCCCTGAGCTACTTCTGCTCAAAGCTAGCACTGTACCACTGAAGGAATTTTTCTATTATTTATTTATTTATTTATTGTTGGTCATGGGGCTTGGACTCGGGGCTTGGGCGCTGACCCTGAGCTCTTCAGCTCAAGGCGAGCACTCTACAACCTGAGTGACAGTGCCACTTCGGATTTTTGGTGGTTATTTGGAGATAGGAGTCTCATGAACTTTTCTGCCTGGGCTGGCTTTGATCTCATCCTCCTGTGTAGCTAGAATTACAGGCATGAGCCACCAGTTGCCCTGCTGAAGGAATCTTTTTTGTTGCTTAAAATATACTTTGTGCATGGTGTCGTATGCCATAATTCTAGCACTAAGGAAGTAAAGGCATGAGGAATGAAAATGTAAGCCCATCCAGATGACCTAGCAGACTCCAAATCAGCCTGGGATACACGTCAAGACCTAGTCTCAAAAAAGAAAATGTCTCCGCCGGGTGCCGGTGGCTCACATCTGTAATCCTAGCTACTCAGGAGACTGAGATCTGATGATCGAGGTTCAAAGCCTCAAAGCCAGCCCAGGCAGGAAAGTCCATGAGACTCTTATCTCCAATAAACCACTAGAAAACAGGAAGTGGCGCTGTGGCTCAAGCGGTAGAGCGCTCTCTGAAAGCGCAAGGACATCGCCCAAGCCCAGAGTTCAAGCCTCATGATCTACACATACACACACACACACACACACAAAGTTAAAAATTAAAAATAAACTCCTCATAAAAGGAAACAAATTTCTATGCTGTTAGTAATAGAATGTCAGTTTCATGATGAGTTTGAATAAAGGAAGACAAACAGGAGGAATCTAATATATAAAGCTTTCTATGTACCAGAGATCATGTTACATGCTCTCTATATTTTCTCATGTTCCTCACCAGAACCTTTGAGGAATGTTATGCCTAGTATTTTCCTTTGTTGTTGATCAGGAAACAAGCTTGGTGATACTGATGTGCTCAAGAAGCACATCAGTGTTGATTATGGAACCTAAACTAGTAATACTATACATACTATATCTATACCCGAACTAAGCTCTTTATTTATATGTAATTTAATAATCTATACCCAAACTAAGCTCTTTTACTTATATGTAATTTAATAAAATATATTTTAAGGATTTTTTGGATTTTATGAAGTACAAAGGAGGAGGAGAAGCTACATTTTCATTATATGGATGGGAAATAAAATGGATTTCCTTTTATTTTGCAATCTTTTAAAATCCGGATCAGATTCGAGCCCTGTTCGAAATTTGCAGTCTTTTGGCACTGAGGAGCCTGCCTATTCTACCAGAAGAGTTACTCGTAGTCAGCAGCAGCCTACCCCAGTGACTCCGAAAAAGTACCCCCTTCGGCAGACTCGTTCATCTGGCTCTGAAACTGAGCAAGTAGTGGACTTTTCAGATAGAGGTAACTGAGTGTTGTAAACCTGTGTGTGTACTAATCACTTTCATTTTAAAGAGGGTTTGGGTACTGCAAATAGATGCCTAATACTGACAGAATTCCTGTAGACAAATGCTGCCTGATTCCTTTTTTGGGGGGAGGGCGGGGGAAGGGTTGGTTGTGGGGCTTGAACTCTAGGCCTGGGTGCTGTCCCTGCACTCTTCATCCCAAGGCAGGGGCTCTACGACTTGAGCCACAGCACCACTTCCAGTTTTCTGGTGGTTAATTGGATTCAGCCTGGGCTGAATCGTGATCCTCAGATCTCAGCCTCCTGAGTAGCTAGAATTATAGGCATGAGCACTGGCATCCGGCCTTTTTTTTTTTTTTTCTCTCTTTTTTGAGGCAGTAGCTGAGACTGGCCTGTAACTTGAGATCCTCCTGTATTACCTCCTGAGTGCTGGGATCACAGGCATGCGCCAGTATACCCAGCCTGTCTGCTGTTTTCTTATAATTATATGCCTTGAAGAGGACAGTTTAGTTACCAGTATGTTGGTTGAAATCCACAGCAACCAGAGATTACACCTGTAATAGAAACAAGAGAGTAGGACACTTTCATCCATGGATTAAGAAGGTTTGACTTTGATTTTCTTTTTTTTTTGCCAGTCCTGGGGCTTGAACTCAGGGCCTGGACACTGTCCCTGAGCTTCTTTTGCTCAAGGCTAGCACTCTACCACTTGAGCCCCAATGCTACTTCTGGCTTTTTCTGTTTGTGTGGTAATGAGGAATTGAACCCAGGGCTTAATGCATGCTAGGCAAGCACTGTATCACTAAGCCACATTCCCAACCCTACTCAGATTTTCTTTTTTTTTTTTTTTTTTGTCGGTCATGGGCCTGAACTCTGGGCCTGAGCACTGTCCCTGAGCTCTTCAGCTCAAGACGAGCACTCTACCCCTTGAGCCACAGCTCTACTTCCAGCTTTTTCTGCTTATGTGGTACTGAAGAATCAAATGCAGGGCCTCATGCATGCAAGGCAAGCACTCTACCACTGAGACACCTTCCCACTCATAAAGTCATAATTTTTTTAAAGACTTCTTTCCATCCTGTTTTCATTACTTATGATCAGATGCTTAAGAGAAACATGGAGAAATGCATTAAGTAAACCCCAAGTTTAATTTTAATCAGAATTTAAGTTGCACCTAAGAAATGGTATCAGTGTCTCATGGTAGATAAGTAAATAACCGAAAGAGAACCAGGAAGCCCATAAACTCTTCTGACAATAAACCTTTAAATGAACCCCTTCAGACATTCTACCAATTGCTGTTGCTTTAGAAACTAAAAATACAGCTGATCATGATGAGTCACCACCTCGAACTCCAACTGGAAATGCACCTTCTTCTGAATCTGACATAGACATCTCCAGCCCCAATGTGTCTCATGATGAGAGCATTGCCAAGGACATGTCCCTGAAGGACTCGGGCAGTGACCTCTCTCATCGTCCCAAGCGCCGTCGCTTCCATGAAAGCTACAATTTCAATATGAAGTGTCCTACACCCGGCTGTAATTCTCTAGGTGAGTGTGACCCACCTTCATGACTCCATTCTGTGGTTCTCTCTCAGAATTGGGACCATCCAGAAATATTTTATGTTCTGTTGTGATCTAGCTGCTAAGATTATATCTTTCTAAGTTATATACTCAGTAATGAGTTGCCCACATAAATAAAAACAATTCTGCTTCTTGACCTGTTGTGCATAATGATAAACAGAAAGAAATTACCTGTAGTGAAATTGGAAGCTTTTCCAAGTGAAAACCCCTTTTTCGCAGCAAACACAAAAAGATCAGTTATCTTTAAATACCTCATGATATTTCATCATAGTTGATGCTTATGAAGACTGGTAGAAGCCGTGCCAGTGGCTCAAGCCTACAACCCTAGCTCCTCAGGAGGCTGAGATCTGAGGATTTCAGTTCAAAGCCAGCCTCAGCAGGAAAGTCTATGTGACTCTTATCTCCAGTTAACCACCAAAAAGTCAGAAGTGGAACTGTAGCTCAAGTAGTAAAGTACTGATCTTGAGTGAAAAAGCTAAAGGATAGCAGTGTCGGGCCCTGAGTTCAATCCCCTTTATCAGCACAAAAAATAAGTTAAAAAATAAAGGACTGTGACTACATAGAGCTGTGAAGGAAATGAGAAATGCTGTTTTTTTTTTTTTTTATCAAGAGGCTATAAAGACTGATAGAGTACATGTGAGACTCTGGCCTTCTGTGACTTCAGTAGGTTTATTTGGTCATGGGACTTGAACTCAGGGCTGGGGCACTGTCCCCGAGCCTCTTTGTGCTCAAAGCTAGTGCTCTACCATTTGAGCCACAGCGCCACTTCCAGCTTTTTTGAGTAGTTTATTGGAGATTAGAGTCTCATGGGTATTTTTCTGCCTGGGCTGGCTTTGAACCAGTCAGATCTCAGCCTCCTGAGTAGCTAGGATTACAAGCTAGGATTACAGTACTCAGTTGACTTCAGTAGATTTTAAGTCTTGTAGTTTTATGTACTTTGTAAGTATAAGCAAGATAAAATATTTCTTTGGTGCCTGTAATCAGCAGCGACAACAAAAAGACTTATCTGCCAGGTGCTGGTAGCTTACACCTGTAATCCTAGCTGCTCAGAAATCAGTGATTGAGAGGATTAGGGCATGAAGCCAGCCCATGCAAAAAGTTTGAGTTGCCATTGTAACTGATAGCTGGATATGGTGACACATACCTGTAGTTCCACGTTGATGAGATTCAAGGCATCATATCTCCAGACCAATGCAGGGAAAAAATGTTCCCAAGACCCCATCTGAACAGAAAAAGTTAAGGCATAGTAGGTGATACAAGCCTGTCATTCCAACAACATGGAAAGCATAAAGAATTATAGTCAAGGTTAGAACCAGCAAAAAGCAAGACTCTGTAAATAACTAGAGCACAAAAGGTTCTGGACATGGCTCTAGCCATAGATTGGCTACCTAGCAAGTGTGAAGTCCTGAATTCAAATCCCAGCACTGTTAACAAAAGGAAAAAAAAAATACATTAGTAATCTTCAGAGCTTTTAGAGAAATAGTGCCAACAGACTTTTTGTTTGACACAGAGTTACCTCAAACCTGCCATTTGTTTTTATAATATGCAGTATATATGAATCAAAATAAAATGAGAATGACTGTATCTAATAGCAAGTTTTCACCGAAGTTGCACTATGTTTTGCTTTTGTGTTCAAGAAATTGTAATATATTGCTTGGTAGCAGGGCTGCATTCTTTGTTTATGTGTATATGTGTATGTAGCACAGCTTACTGCATTTATGCCTCTGGTGATTTATAAGCAAGCTTGCCATTACATTAAGTGAAATGGTGCTGTTAAGAGAAAATTTACAAGCTTACTGCTAGTATAATGTATACTGTTTTAAAATTCTTTTGGGGGGGGGAGGAGGTTTGAGTAGCTTTGTGCCTGTCCAGGATCTTGAACTAATAAGGGCCTGGGCACTTTCCCTGAGCTTTACCACTTGAGCCACAGCTCCACTTCTGGTTTCTGATAAGAATCTCACAGACTACTGGCTGAGTTGGCTTTGAACCATAAACCTCAGATCTCAGTCTCCTGAGTAGCTAGAATTACAAGCATAAGCCACTGGCTCCCAGCTTTGAAATTCTTTTTGATAAATTCAAAGAATACACTTAACAATGAAGGATACAGTGTAGTAAATACGTTTGTGTAATGTAGTGATAACCATTGTCAAGTATTGCATAGTAGACATAATTATGTGTGCTATGCTTTCTATGAGTAGCCGCTGGTAGGTTTGTTTATACAAGCATCACCACATACACATAACAGTGTACCCTGCTACCATGTTATAGCAACCAAGCTTTCATATGTAAAAGTGGTCTGTTGTTAATGGAAACATTGCTAAGTAGTGCATAACTGTAAGTGGCTAGAATTGCCTTTTAATAATAAAGTTTTAGCGAACTGGCTCTGAATGTCATAAAGGATGTTTTATTATCCTTTAAAGTTTGCTCTGGGGCTGGGAAGGTGGCTCAGTGGTAGAGTGCTTGCCTTGCATGCATGAGGCCCTGGGTTCAATTCCTCAGCACCACATAAGCAAAAAGAAAAAAAACAGAAGTGGCGCTGTGGCTCAAGTGGTAGAATGCTAGCCTTGAGCTGAAGAGCTGAGGAACAGCACCCAGGCCCAGAGTTCAGGCCCCATGACCGGACTCCCCCCCCCCAAAAAAAAAAAAGAATATATTTCTAGCTAACATTAACTTTCTTCAATTCAAGTACTTGTTCTATCACTTACAAGTAGATCACAGGATGAAAATTTTCTTTAGTTGGTCTTTATGAAGAATAGTTTATTTCCAATTATATATGTATTCTTAAGATTAGAATAGTTTTCTTCATTCCAGATTTTTTTTTTTTTTTTTTGTTAGTCATGGGGCTTGAACTCTGGGCTTGGGCGCTATCCCTGCACTCTTCAGCTCAAGGCAAGTACTCTACTGCTTGAGCCACAGAGCCACTTCCTGTTTTCTACTGGTTTATTGGAGATAAGAGTCTCACAGACTTTCCTTGCCTGGGCTGGCTTTGAACCTCGATGCTCAGATCTCATCCTCCTGAGTAGCTAGGATTACAAGTGTGAGCCACTGGCGCCCAGCGCACAAAACATTTCTGTTCTACATTTTTCCTCTTTTAGTCCCTTCTTTCAAAAGGTGAATCAGGCTTACCATAATTCATTTTTCCTGCAGTACACTTAAAGGTTGATAGAATTTTTTTTTTTTTAAGTCAGTCGTGGGGCTTGAACTCTGGGCCTGGGCGCTGTCTCTCAGCTCTTTAGCTCAAGGCTAGCACTCTACCACTTGAGCCACAGCACCACTTCTGACTTTTTTCTGCTTATGTTGTGCTGAGGAATTGAACCCTCATGCATGCAAGGCAAGCATTCTACCACTGATCTACCTTCCCAGCCCCGGTTGATAGAATTTCTAAAACAAGCTATGGCTTACATTTAAAATCTCACATGGAAAGATTAGATTGGTTTCTTACGTTTATAAATGTTCTAGAATTTTTGTTTTGTGTTGTTGCAAACTCAGGACCCCATGCATACTAGGCTTGCAGCACTAGGCTAGATCTCTAACCTAACAAAAGCTCTTGAGTTTTAAAACTACCTGCATCTACATGATTGCCCTTGAGTTTTCCAGTAAACCTCTGTAGTCAGCAATTTTACCATTTCTTTCTTTTTTTTTTTTTCTGAGTCCTGTTGTGGGGCCTGGGCACTGTCCCTCAGCTCTTCAGCTCAAGGCTGGCGCTCTACCACTTGAGCCACAGCGCCACTTCCAGCTTTTTCTTTTTGCTTATGTGGTGCTGAGGAATCAAACCCAGGGCCTTGAGCATGCAAGGCAAGCGCTCTACCACTGAGACACCTTCCCAGCCCAGCAATATTACCATTTCTATTCAGTCTTGAACTTCTGTGGCTATGTGTGCTAACCAGTTACAAATAGGTGTCTTATTTAGTTACACGTATCAGGTAAGTGGCTTACACATGTACTCCCAGCAATGAGGAGACTGATATCAGGAGGACTGAAGTTGAGGATAGCCTGTACAAAAAGTTAATGGGCCCCCATTATACCTCGTGGTTTGCCCTTGTCATTCTAGCTATGAGGCAAACATAAGCCGGATGATCATGGTTCAAGCCAGCCTGAGGAAAAATGCGAGACCTTATCTCAAATATAACCAAGCCAGAAAGGACAGGAGGTGTGGCACAAATAATAGAATGCCTTTGTGACATGTGCAAGCCCCTGAGTTCAAACCCCAGTACCACCAAAATCAGGGAAGACCGCAAAAAAGGGGCTTACCTTAGGGAGGGAGACAATGCATACCTATAAATATGTCAATAAGAATTTTATGTAGTAATATGAGAGACCAACAGGCTGAAGATAATGACTATTTCTGACATGGTAGATTCCAATGTACTGCTTTTGATAAAGGAGGTCAAAGAAGATGTTCCTGATGAGTTGGCATTTGATCTCAGATATGGATAGTGGCAAAGAAACAATCCTATAAGGATCTAGAAGAAATGGCTGTGGAGAAAGAATCACTGAATTTCAGGGATTGAAGGCTGTGGCTAGAACATGATGGGAAATGAGGAAGCAGGGCTCAGGTCAGGAAGGCCTGAGGTTTGGCACAGGAATATGTTTCCATTCTGATGGCAATAGGAAGCATTGCCTAAGCAGAGGCATGATGTAATTTTGTGAACATTTTGTTGAAATGACATCTCACTTGAGGATAGAACTAGAAGAAGGCTGCTCAAGAAGTTGTGGCAGTAGATGGATTCTGGACTAGCATGGTATCTGTGGAAAGTCTAAGAATAGGTTGCATTTTGGAGTGGAGCAAGCTACTAGACTTGCAGGTGGATTCGATGTGAGATAGGAGAAAAAGAAGAATCACAGATGACGTCCAGTTTTTACCTGGTCAACTTAAGATGGTGTGTAGCCCTCTGTTATCAGGAAGATTTGGAATAGAGCAGATATGTAGGAAGTGCTAGTTCTGACATTGCTAAACCTTAGTGAAGCTGAATAGGTAATTGGATTTGAGGTCTCAATTCCCAGATGATGAAACTGAAACTATGTAGTGATGGGATTTGTCTGAGATTGTGTAACTGTATAGCGTTTTCCTATAAACTTGAACCCAAGTTTCCCTTTTCTTTCTCTTTCCCCTTCTCCCCTCCTTTTTCTTTTCCTTTTCTTCTTTACCCTGTCATCTATCTATATCTGTATATCTATCTGGTCTTACTATGTTGCCCAAGCAATCCTCCTGTCTCAACATGCTTAGTATCTAAGACTACAGGTCCCTACCACTGTGCCTGGCTCTACCTAGGTTTCCTAATGTTTTCTTTGTATTTTCTCATTCTCTGCACTTCTTCAGTTATTTTTTGTTTGTTTATATAGTTTTTTGGTCTTTTTTTTTTTAAACTAGTTTCTTAACAGTTTATTAGCCAGTACAATGATAGGAATCCAGATTCAATCATCAGACTTGCGGTAAAGCTTTCCCACCATTTAGCAACAATAATTTCACTTTTCTGATTTTCACTTAGTGGCTGAGAAAGGATGATAAGAGGCTTGCTTTGTCTCTTATAGAGATTGTGATAATATGTGTACCTTTTACTTTCAAAGTACAGCCTAAACGCAAGGGATTATCATGAATTCTTTTACTTTAAGTAAATGTAGTCTTAGAAACAGGTGGATTTATTGACATTGTTGATGGTTGCAGGTGAGAGCACAGAGCCGGGATAAGCAGATAGAAGAGAGGATGCTGTCCCACAGGCAAGATGACAACAACAGGCATGCAACCAGGCACCAGGTATGGGCCTTGTGAAAGCTCTGGCTGGCCATTCAGTTTGAGATCCCCATCTTCAATCTCCTTTGACCCATGATTTCTCTATAGGCATATCCATGCCTCTTGTTGCTCAAGGTATGGCTAAATAACTTTTCTAGACATCAGCCCAGGACATTTACTTCCTAGGTAGTAAATTTCTATAAATAAATACTTCTACCTCATAAATGGTAGAGTCAAGCTACTTATTATAGAAATAGTAATAGAAGATACTCTTGATTATTTGAAAGATTACATTGGTTCCATTTTCTAATTTTTCCCTCTTGTTTTTTAACCCCATTATAGTTTGCTTTCAAGCCACCTCCACTTAGCTGGCTTATTTCTAAGGTCAGCAGTGATATTTCCTTCATATCTGATGTTCATCAGCTAGGTTGCTTTTCTTCTTTTTTCCTGTGATTTCCAGGAAGCATCCTTGTTCTAATCCTCTGAACATTTGAGTTGCATTGATTCCTTGTTCTTTTATAAATGGCTTTGGTCTGTACTTTTGGCTGTTTTTCTGCCTGGAACTCTATACCTGACCAAGAAGAAGAGATTATATTTATTCTTTTAAGGCCTTGTCCAATTCTTAGCTCTTACAGGAATTCTTTCCAAATCTTCACCTGCTATTAGTGAGCCACTTCCTTTAGTGTAGTCCATTCTAGTGTTCAAAAAATTTCAGCCTTTATCACATATTATTCATAGTTTCTTATCTAGGTGTCTGTTTTTGTAGTTCGATTTTAAGTGGATAACTGGGAGCATGGTAGTGAGGAAGTTTTGCTTGGAAGACAAATTGATCTGGATTGAATACTGTGATTCTTTCTCTTGCTGTTTTGTCCTGGGCCGACCATTTAATCTTCCTAAACTTTATTTCCTTGTTAATATAAATGAGTGACAATACAGAGTAGTCAGCTGAACCTTGTATATGTAATAGCTATCACATTGCTTGGCAATAAAAAGGACTCTTAAGAAATGGCCACCTTTTTCATTATGGACCTTAGGTTCTCACTCAGTTTCTTTGTTATTCATTTTGTATCATTATCAGATCATTAAACATTACTTCAAAAACAGTATTCAATAAATGCTTACTGAGTTGTGATCTTCATCTTATTTCTGTTGCTTTGAAAAAGGGCTTGAACTCAGGGCCTGGGCACTGTCCCTGAGCTTCTTTGTGCCACAGTGCCACTTCCACACCTTGAGAGAGAGAGTATGTATGTGTGTGTGTGCATGTGTGCTCAAGGCTAGTGCTCTACCATTTGAGCCACAGTGCCACTTCCACACCTTAAGAGAGAGAGAGAGAGTGTGTGTGTGTGTGTGTGTGCGCGTGTGCGCGCGCAGGCATGTGTGCATGTGCTCAAGGTAGTGCTCTACCACTTGAGCCACAGCTCTACTTCTGGTTCTTTGGTACTTAATTGGAGATGAGAGTCTCATAAACTTTCTTGGCTGGCTGGCTTGTAACTTCCATCAGGTCTCAGCCTCCTGAGTAGCTAGGGTTTCAGGTATGAGCCACCGGCACCCAGCTTGACTTGCATTCTTAATTCATATTAATGTTAGGATAAGTTTACAGCCAGGTGTATGTGGAGCCAAGTGCTGGTGGCAGGATGATCAGTTACAGCCCAAGCTATACAAAAAGTTCTCAAGACCCCCATCTCACCTGGCACTGTCTTAGCTCATGCCTATGATCCTAGCTACTCAGGACTCTGAGATGTGAGGATTGTGGTTCAAAGTTGAGTGATTCTTCAGTTAATCAGCCCCCCCCCAAAAAAAAAGAGCTGGAAATGGAGTAATCCTTAAGTGGTAATACACTGGCCTTCAGTGAAAAAGCTAAGGGACGTTGCCCAGGCCCTGAGTTCAAGCCCCAGTACTGGATTTTTTAAAAACCTATTTCAACAGGAAAAACTGGACATGATGGCATGCCAGCCAACTACAGTGTCCCAGCTATAGTATAAAATATAAATAGGGAGATCAGGATCCAGGCATGGCCCACAAAAAAAGCAAGACCTTGTCTCAAATACAACCACAGCAAAAAGGACTGGAGAGCACTTGCCTAGCAAGCACAAATTTCTGAGTTCAAATGTTAGTACTATTAAAAAACAGAACCTAGTTTAACTAGCAGTAAATATAGTTTGAGTGTGAAGGAAATTAATTTTAAATTATAAAATGGATACATTATTCACAGGTAACTAAATTTTTGGCTCTTTTTTCTTTATAAAAATGTTTATTAAAATTTTGTAGTTTTGAAGTTTAACTCTTGTAATGAGTTTTCCAGCTGACTTCTCAGTTTTTTCTTTTAGGCACCAACAGAGAGGCAGCTGCGCTATAAGGAAAAGGTAGCAGAACTCAGGAAGAAAAGAAATTCTGGACTAAGCAAAGAACAGAAAGAGAAATGTATGGTGAGGAAAAGTTTAGTTCTTAATTAGCATGAACTTAGCTCATTTGTTTCCCTTTCGCTTTTTAAGCTTTTGCCTTGCAGATTAGCCAATTGCTGTTTTCTACAAGAGACCATCAGGTAAATATCAGAAACTCTTTGCTGGCGCTTAGAGCTTACTATAGTCCCCCAAACTGGGTTGTTGAATGGAAACAAGTTGAATGGAAAAATTTACAAAAAGTTCTTCGAACCTGTCTTTTGTGACAAATTCCAAACTGGCCAGAACCAGATTAGCATGGAAGAAATGATAATAGGAACAAAGATGCAAATGAATAGTTCTTCAAATGCTAATGTATGCTTGAAATCTAGCGTGTTGTTCCTGAGGTAAACCTACTCCTTCAGTTAAGTACTTTTGTCTCTTTTCTGGGGGAGGTGGAGTCTAGTGCTGCAGGGAAGGGATAGAATCCAGATTTAAAAGAGAAGTCTCTCCCCTCCAGTTTCTTTCCAGGGACGGATTACTTGTATCGAATGTCATGGTAAGGCTTGATTATTATTTAAAGTTGGACTGTTATTCTCTTAATTCTCTGTGTTTTTCCCCTTCATCTTGCTTAATATAGTGTCTAGCCTGCATTTTCTGTACACTTAGGCTCAAGTTTTAAGTGGGAACTTTACACAATTGGTAGGTAGTACTATGTGGCCACAGCAATTCAGGTGAAAGAATTTGGAAGACTGCTTAGTCCAGCTGCCTCTCTCTCCCTACTTGCAGGTTTCAGTCTAGCATCTCAAAATACTAAGGCTTGGAGAATTTGGTTTTTATTTCTATTTGTCTTGCTTGTAAGTCAGGGGAATATCCTCCTGGGTTTGTTGTCCTTTGTTTCTTACTGTCCTGCATGTTTTCTCTGGAAGAAATAGAGGCCTAGAGTCCTGATCATGGACCTTAGCAATAGAAGGTACTCCTGAACCTTTCAAAGCATCTCTACTGACTAACTAGGACTTTGGCAGTACCATGCAAATAGTCTACCTGTACTCTATCCCTGGCATCTAGGGTATAAGCACTGTGTAAATAGCTTCTAGTTGTGGTTGGCATACTTTGAAAGGCAGTGGACTACATTTAGGAGCAGAGAGTATCATGCTCTGGTTATTTTTCTAGGAACATAGACAAACCTATGGGAACACTCGGGAGCCTCTCTTGGAAAACCTGACAAGCGAGTATGACTTGGATCTTTTCCGAAGAGCACAAGCCCGGGCTTCAGAGGATTTGGTGAGTGCTAAAATCTCCAATTGAGGGAGGACCCTTGTAAAAGGCACTTAAAACTGCCAAGAAAAATGATTAGCAATCATTTTGATGGGAATTAAATGTACTTTGCTGCTTGAATCTCTCCCTTTACCCACTTGTCCTTTTGAGGTAGCCCACGCATATTTAAAATGAATGATCCACTTCTCCTCCGCCCATACTCCTTACAATATTCACCTCCTTTCACTCTGAACTGGAACTTCCAGTTGGGCTTGAAGTTATAAGGCTGGTTAAAAACAGTAGGTGCTCCTTTGTCTCTTGAAATTTGCAATTCTGGAAACCTCTGAACTGTTGAGGTGCAGCGTACCTCCCCTTATGTAGAGAAAGCTTCCTTAATACACGTTCTACAGTTACTCTAGGAGCATGAAATTAACTGACAAGGAGAATAACTGGGAAGGCTAACTTTCAGATATTTTATTGAATTTGTTTACTTACGAGATGGGAGTTTCACTATGTTGCCCAAGCTGTTCTCAAACCCTTGGGCTCTACCAATTCTCCTGTCTCAACTCCCCAGTGCTAAGATCACTGGTGCTAGCCTAACCACTACTCTTGGCTGCTGTTTCAGAATTCAACTTTTTTTGGGCGGGGGTCCGATTGTGGGGCTTGAACTCTGGGCCTGGGCGCTGTCCCTCAGCTCTTCAGCTCAAAGCTAGCGCTCTACCACTATGAGCCACAGCACCACTTCCCAGCTTTTTTCTTTTTGCTTATGTGGTGCTGAGGAATCGAACCCAGGGCCTCATGCATGCAAGGCAAGCACTCTACCACTGAGCCACCTTTCCAGCCCCAGAATTAAACTTTTATAATTAGCTCACACTTAGGTGTGATGCCCTAGGCATTATTGAGTTGTACAAAGGATTTATAATTCCATAAGTTAGGAAATGAGTACAGTGTTTCCTGGACAGTGTCACCCCTTGACTTTGCCTCATTTGCCACTCCCTGCCCATAAGTTACATGGTTCATTTTTTACATCGGCTATATTGAATACCATGGTACATTTATTCAGCCTTCTTCCATTTCTGTGTCCCCTTCCCCAAAATAAAGAGACAACAATGAAAATAAAACCAACAACAACAAAACCATGTTTCCATTTCCTGGAGTTTGTTTTGATAAGTATGGTTTTAGATGTCTGAAGGAGTTAGACCCTTGAATACCTCCTCTAAGTATCCTGTAAATGCACAGAGCCCTGTATAAGTTATCATCTCTGGTTGTGTTTTAGATGTAATGTTACATAGAACATCCTAGGCTGAATTTTTAATCAGGTTAGATCAAGAAAATTCTGGTGCTCGGGCTGGGAAGGTGGCTCAGTGGTAGAGCGCTTGCCTTGCATGCCTGAGGCCCTAGGTTTGATTCCTCAGCACCACATAAGCAAAGAGAAAAAAGCTGGAAGTGGCGCTGTGGCTCAAGTGGTAGAGCGCTAGCCTTGAGCTGAAGAGCTGAGGGACAGCGCCCAGGCCCAGAGTTCAGGCTCCATGAGCGGACCCAAAAAAAAAAGAAAATTCTGGTGCTTGAATTTACCTCAGAGTTAATAATGTGTTCAGGGAAATTTAATATGTAAAGTGAATCGCATCTTCACCCCTCCTTTTTTTTTTTTTTTTTACTGTATCAAATACTAGAGAGTTGAAAATTTATAGGAGGCAAGGTTTGATGGTTGCAGTAGGCTGGCTGCTTTCCACTGCTGCTTTTCTCTCCTGTTCTGGAAAGACACTGTCTAGGCCAGTTTTTCACAGCTTTCCACCTGGGTATGTTTACAAACTATTTCTGTAGTCAGCTCATAGCCACTTTAAGAAAAAATGATACACAGAAATATTCTCTACTGTCTCACATACCAGCGTTAAATACTTTTTTAAAAAATAACTTTATTGTGAGAATACTGTACAGAGGAGGGGTTACAGTTACATGAGCGAGGTAATGACTACATTTCCTTTGTTTTTCTCCTACCATCCCTTCCCTCCCATCTCCACAACTACACTCCCCGCCCCCCC